CGATCTTGTCTTTAAGAGTACTTTATAATTATAATTTAAAATAATTTTTTTATTGTTGATGGTAGGAGTAAACAAAAAAATTAACAATAAAAAAATTATTATAAATTATAATTATAAAGTACTCTTAAAGCCATTCAACTTTTATTCGGAACATTTTTTTCTATCTCTCCTAGTTTCGACGATATTCATTGAAATAAAAAAACCGATTTTTTTCTAAGGGGTGTTTCACCCCTTAAAAGTGCGATCGGGCACGAATTTGCGGTAGCTTAATTTTTGGTTTTGTCTAGAGAATAACATATCAAAAGCTCATCGAAATCGGAGGCGGACACCTGGGTAACTCTCCTTGTAAGAATCTAGAAATCTCTGAATTCAGAACTTATATAGTATTCTGAAAGATATTAAACAAAATAAAATCTTTAAAGAATTTGTATAAAACCTTTGAATTTAAAAATTTTTTAATTTTTTTTTTAGTATAAATAATTTTTTAAAAAATTTGAGTTTTATAGTAATAAAAGTGCGACTATTTAAATTTAAATTAGCCTTTTCCAGCCAGAACGTCTATTATTTAAATTCTAAAAGGAAAACAGAAAATTGTAAAAGAATTTCTTTTAAGAAAAATAAATTAGAGATATATAAAAAATTTTATCAAGATTCAAGGAAGAATCTTTGTTAAAAAATTGTGTCATGGAAGAAATTATCTTTTCAAAATGTTACCTTTTACTTTATGTTACATTCTCAGCAAGTTTTACGTAAATTTTTTAATGTGCTAGTATAAAATCGGTTTAAATATTTAAATAAGATTTGTTTTGTTTTAATAAATTTATCTTTGCTATTTAAGTGTTAGCATTTTCTGTATGATAGATATTTTAATTCTTTTTTTTTGGACATGTAAATATTTTCTATTATATACATAAATGGCATATTTTGTACAAAAGTTCTTTATCTGTGTTTACTATTTCTTCAAATGTGATACATTTGAAACCAAATGTTCTTAATTTTTTCTCTATATATACTTACATAAATATGAAAAAATTGTATTGTATTTTATAAGAATTAGAAAATTATATTACGCATTATAAGAATAAGGAAGTTACAAAAAATTTATACAATTAAAATAACTATTTTAAAAAATTATATCTTAAAACCTCTCTAAATTTGCTGTAAGATTTAAATTTTAAACAATGTTTAAATGATTACAAAATCTTGTAAGTAGATTTTTTTGAAGTAAATATTTTGTTTCATGTTTTCGTTATATGTTATTGAGTTATAAAGTAATCAAAATAATGATGAAGAAATCAAACTAGGAGATTAAAAAATAAATATTATTTATTTGTATACAGAAACAAATGATGCCAACAAAGAGACTGAGGAGACGCCTCGAAGAAGTAGCAAAGTTATGATAGCGGAAGCTTCTACTAATGTAGCTCCGCGACCTGCCATTGAAACATTTAGAAAAAGTCTATTAAAGTCAACAAGCAGCAGCAGTATAGATAAACAGGGAGTACTCGATGTTAAAGCTACCGAAGTTAGATCGCCGTCACCTATACCTGAAGATCTCGTAGGAGAGGAAATTAGCAAGCAGTCAGTATCGTCTGCAACGATCGACCAAGAAAAAAAGATTGAAGAAAAGAAAAATGCACAAGAGCAACAGCAGGAAAAAGGTGGAGAAACAAGCGAAAAAGAGACATTAGAAGAGCAAAAGGTGGAAGAGATGGATGAAAATAATCATGAGCAATCTGGAAATGCAGAATGTAATAACAGTGATAACACTGGACAGCAAACCTCGGAAACAGATAAAGAAATCGATGCAGGAAAAGATGCTGAATTTGACGCGAAAGAAAGCAAACCTGAAGTATTGCCGATTCAAGGTACAAAATTGCGGGGAAAATCAAAAGCGACTGGTCGAGTAATGGGAGGTTGGATTTAATTAAATATTTAACTTTTTTAATTAATTAAATATTTATTTAAAATTATTTACATATATTACATTTATTTAAGTGTTAAATTTTAAATACCTTATTAAAATTAAAATCTCCTTTTGTAGAAAATATTTATTTTAAATACCTGTTAATAATGTGAACGCGTTAATAATTCATATATTGAGCGCTAATTGTGTCACATAAAATCTTTACCTGGAAAGTTTCTCAGTTACTTAAAACTTAGTTAAATAGAGGAAAGTTCAAATAGAGTAAAGCCTTGGCATAATTCATAACACGTATCATGAGACGGACTTCCCCATGTATAACGCAAATGTAATTTCGAAGCACTTTGCATGACAAGCGATATACCAATATCATTGCTCAGAATACCTTATCATTTTCACATATTTATCACATCGTTTAGATTAATTTCTAAATACATTGCCATCTTTCGGTTTAATATATCTCGATAATTTTATAAATACGTATTTTATTAATTGTATGTAAAATTGTCTATACAATCAAATAAAATTTAATTTAATTTTGCTAAACTTATTTAAACTAATTTAACTTTAAAAAAACAGAGTCCTCGGATCACAAAATTGTGTCATTGAGATTAGATTACGTATAATATTGGAAATTCCATTAAGTGAGAAATTTACCGTGTTCATAAATGCGATAAACAGATGACGCGTGACTTATATTCATGGATGTAATTTTCTGTCAGCTTTCCTTATTCAATCCTATATATCTCTAATGTCACGTATACGCGATAAGCGAACAGTTTTTAATTACGATGTGATTCTTATCGGTAACATCGTGCACGTCGTCACGAATGATGTCTTATTTAGATAGCAAATGTAAGATAGATGACGTAATAAATAAAATTATATATCTAAAATATCTATGCAATCGATATTTTTCCTCTTCAATGTATACATTTGCCACAGATCATCGCTAATAAAGTTCTGAAACATGAAAATGACAAAGTTAATATAATAAAGGTATCATACCATCATCCTGTGTTGGCTCGCATACGGTTTCCATACTTTAATATGTTTGATTTATTTTAGTGAGCCTATGTATTTAATTTGTTTTAATATAATAAAGATGTTTAATTAATTAACTTTGCGTTGTTACAATTATTATTAAATTAATTTTTTTTATTGTTAAGGAATTTTTTGTTGAATCGTTCCTTTCTCTTAGACATGCATTGCTTGTCAATAGATAAACTTTTTCTTCGTTATGTTATTTAGTAAAGTTAAACGGAGTGAGGAATTTTCGTGTTATGATTAATATAAACGTTAATGTTAATTGAAAAATGTACCTTCGTTTTTGCTTATACACCTCTTCCGCTTTTATTCCATTAGAAAAGGCGTTCTTTTTTCTGTTGATACTTTTATCTTCCTGTAATATATTATCATATCTGGCATGTTATATTTAAAATGATGTGTCAAATTACATGAGAGAAGTTCATTTTAATACTACGCAGTCAGATAGAATTGATCAAATCAACGTCGCTAGACCAATGATATCAACGTCGACTAATTATTTCTAGCAGGGTATAAAAACCGATTTCATATAATTTCCATAGACACCAATAATTAATAATAGTTTTAATAATTCTTTCTATGCTTAATTAATTTTGAATTTATATGCTTACATCTTCAAGTTCACCAATTAAATATTTTTTGAGCATTTTTTTTGCATCTGAAGAATGCCCGAAGTCATCAAATCCATTCGTAGCATTTTTTCCCGCATATTCCTGAATTAATTCTGGACCACCTGGATGCTGCAAATAATATTATTCCTTATAATTATATAATTTGTATTATTCGTTAAATCTAATGAATTAAATTAACTTTGTATACAAATTATAACAAATATAATTTAGAAAATTAGTATGCTAATTCAATAGTAATTGTATAATAATATAGTAATATAATAAGCAAGATAAAAGATATTAATAAATGTATAATATATTTACAACTAAATTACGGTAATGCAATTTTTTCTTTGTCAAAAATTAGATTAAATCTGCATTTTACTTTTTATTACAAATTATTAAATTTATTTTAATTGTATTAAAATATAAATTAAAATGGAAGAGTATAGAAAAAAGTAGATTTGATATTATACTTAATAATCAATTTTCTGTAATTTTATTTATATTTTTAGAATATTCTATTGTTTATTACATTTTGATAACTGTTACGTATTATACATATCATGCAAGGTCATTAGAGGTAAAAAAATTATAGTTATAAAAAATGCAAGATAAAGAATTTTATCACATACTCGGAGAGCACATCGTACATAACATACTTGTTGACATTATAATCGAAAGCTCTGCCTCCGACCTCTGAATCATCACTTCTTAATAATAAATTAAAATTAAAGAAATTAAAAGAATTTAAATAAAACCACAGTTAACACTAATTTAATTTACTATGATTGACATACACAGCAATCTTATATATTGACATATCTTCGTAACAATTGGGCTTGACCATATATATATATATATATAATATATACATATGTATATGCGGCTATTTTTAATTAAATGACTCCAATACATTCTCGTCTATTAACGAGGATCTGATTCACATACCGTAGGACTTCAAAACTCTTTCAATCGTTTGTATATTTTAAAATCATGACTACATTTACACTTTTTACTTATTTTAATCTATATCTATTATTTATTTATTTACTCATTTGTTTTTTATTTTGGTTTTTTTTGTTTAATTTATTTATTTATTATTTATTTATTCAATTATTAACTTTATTTAATCTTTAAAAACTTTCGTACAACTTAACTTACTGTGGTACAAATAATATTGTCACATACAATGCATTTAATCATTTAATGTAATAAATTTTTACTTTAAATTTTGACGTGATCTTTTAACTCCGAAAAAAATTAACTAAGAGTATATATGGTTGTTGGTTTGCACAATTTCGGATTTCTATCCAGATTTCAATCCCGCGTGTTATTGAAAATTAAAAATGAAAAAGGGCTTCGTACAGCTCGAAACATTCGAAGCACTCAATGTATTTTAATTACTTCTGAAAGTATATGTTGTATGCTTAATTTAATTTATGACTTAATCATTTAACTCTCCCATTTTTATGCTCATTTAATTGGTTTAACAGATGAAAATAAACATTTACTGCAAATTATTAACTGTCTTTGTTTAATTAAAGTTTATTAAAAAATTTATGCAACGTATTACATATCTATCATATTGTTACATTATTATATTATATATTTTTCTTTACTATCCAATTTTTTATTGAAATATTTTCAGATAAAATTTCTAGTTTTTCTTACGTGATTTAATTTTTTCATGCATATAAAAGCATTAATTTAAAGAAAAAAAATATTTTACAAAATATCTCATATTTATTTTCAAATATTTTTATTAAATATAAAATACCATGTAAAATATTTATTTTTTATTCTAACTTTCGTGCGCAGAATAATAAGGTAATTCAATTTACAAAAAAATATATAATTGCATTTAAAAAAAAATACATAATTTGTAATTTATAATTTTATACGCACATACCTGTTGCATATAATCCGTCACATCGTAAATATTGTCATGGATCACAATCCAGGTTCTCGTTCCATTCTTGCCGTTGCATTTTGCAACATCCGTGAGTGAATAGCGAATCACTGAATCGGACATTCTTCAACTAAATCTTACAAGAAAAAGAGAAAACTTATTCGCGTCCGCAATATAAGTAACACGTGCCGATGTTGTGAGGATTGGCGGTACTCCCGGAAAATACGAACGATAAGCATATCGTGATTTAGAAAGACATGAATTGTATCTATAGATAATTGTGAATATAATGCTGTCTCCGTTTATTGCTTTATTGTGCAACTGATGCAAAAAATTTCTAGATATGTAACATTATCGAAGAATAATTTTTCGGAACAAAAGTTTTTCTAAGTCTTAAAAATAATTTAAATAATATTTTTTTAACTATTGGCTATATATGTAATTTTTTATTTTAATTACAATATGTGAATTTTATTTTTAAAACTGGTTGTAAGGAAATAAATATTGATTTAAAAAAATTATCCAAAAATTATATCTGAGAATTCTTATCTAATTTGATGAGAATTTGTATCTAATTTGATGGATAAATAAAACAAGACATAAAAGAGAAAAATGTTAATAGCAATCTAGAAAATTTAATAAAAGGAAAATTTAATAAAAGGAAACAAAGGAATGAAATGGAGATTTAATTAAATTGCCCGACAAAAACCTCTTGTTTTACACAAATGCAGTGAACAGTCGTTTTTGATGTATTTTTGTTCAACATGAATTCATTGCCTAAAGACTACTAAATCACAATTTTTGAAAAATGACATGAAAAATACAAAAAACGAAAGAAAAATGATGATTCTGAAAGTTTTTATGACGTTGTATTCTGATAGTAATTTGTTTAATTTCTAAATTTAATGACGTGCGAACATCAACTTTTAGCTTTAAAATGCATTTTGTTTTATATTGATATGTTTTCAAGCAATTTCAAGATAGCATTTTTCCATATAATACGTAGAAAAGACATTTTATTTCTTAATACGGTATTATAAAAAAAGGCAAAAAAAGTACTCATATTATGTAATCATTTATGAAATTGATCATTTATGAAATTGACAAAATACATGGCTGTAGAACAAAATTTACTGTCGATGTTATGAACAACATTAAAATCATCATAAAAATCATTAAAAATTGTCGTTTTTAATCTTTTTGACATCATTTTTTAAAATTGTGATGTGCTAATAAAATTTTAACGCCAAATTCTTGTTTAGCAGGTAAAAATGCATCGAAAGTGATTATTCACACTCGTATTGTAAATTAGTCAATGTTATAAGAGAGCTTAAGATAGAAAGAGAGAAGTGGAGGATAATAGATGTACAAAACGCGAAAATGGACTAAAGTTAAAGAAAATAAAAAAGGAGATAGAAGAAAACACATAAGAAATAAGAGGAGGCCATAAAGAATAAAAGATAAGAGAGAAGAGGGATTGAGTAGAGAAAAATAATGAAATAAGAGAAAACAGAAAATAAGTTGAAGAATAAGAAGATGAATAGAAATAACAGATTTGTTAAATGTCTAGAAAATCTGAAAAGGAGAATTTTAAATATATAATATAAATAAGGACCCTGAAGGAAAAATATACATGCATAGGAGAAATCAAAGTAAAAATTAAATATTGGCACGTATTTTAAAATAAAATAGAAATTAACGAAATAAAGAGCAAACAAAGACATTGCAATACAATTATATAATTTCAATCGGTATTCTAAAACGGAATGTTTTGACTTCATTAAGTCTTCTTCAATCGCAACTGTAAATTTTCAAATTATAATTAATTCCATTAGTCTTATTTGGTGAACACGCTATGTTTCCTTTTTCGGGTTGAGTCATGGTGATCCAAAATTAAAATCGTTATCCGAAGTAATCGCTATTTCTTTGACAATCCTTGGCAATTAGATTCGATTACTGATGGGTCGACAATTGTGGTTCTCCTCAGTCACGTCAATCTCACCGGCAACTAACGAGATCCTCTCCTTTTTTTCACCTTTTTTTAACAATGTCAATAGCCGACAACAATTGACAGCATCAATTTTTTTCTCAACGAATCGATCTCTTTCCTGAATCTTATGTCATTATCTTAAATTTCAATTACATTTCTGCCAATCTGTCAAGAATATTAAAGTAACAACTGTTTAACAATTCAGTGTTATGTTCAAATTTAATTATTGTTATTTTAATATTCTTGACAATCTTGCAGAAATGTAATTGAAATTTAAGGGGTTATACCATCTTGACTGCTTAAAAAAATCATAGATAACTTTGGGAATTTTTTTTTAGGAAAACATTAAAAGTAGTTAAAAAATCGTTTTAAGACTTTAATAATACAAGTCTTTAGAAGTAAAAAATATTTTATATATTTATTTTTTTAACAAAATGGCAACGCTGAAGCCATTTTATTAAACGTCGTTTTGTAGCCACATCGGCGTTGGGATTTGCCATTCGGTTGGACCTGGAACAAAAAATCAAAAATTTTTAAAAACTATACAATATGCACCAGGGCCTGTTCACTCCCATATATTTTTGGGGGACAGCGTTTTGGCGCCCTCACAGTCTGACACTCGGCAAAATGGAACTAAGTATCCAAATCTGTCGATAACATAGTCCTATATACATATATATATATTCTAAATTTTATTCTTAATATGAGCTAAATAAGTGAAAAC